CCCTTGCAGAGGGTATTAAATTTTCAGTCAAAAGTTTGCAACGCATTAAAGGAGACATTTTCGATCCTATAAATATATGTATATTCTTGATCAGCATCCCTAGGAGAGTCGTCCGTTTCTGTGCAAAATTTAAAAATTATAAAAAATAAAAATTTAAAAAAATTGTTATTTTTATGTTTTTCTATTTATCAAAATATTCCTATGAGATATGGTAATTATTTTATACTTTATCAGAATTACGCTTTAAGTTTGGTCAAATTGATCCTTCCGATAAGATCAGCTGGTAGTTCTAGTAGATTTTTATATATCTGGAGTTACGTGGTCTACAGGGGATGGATTGAATGTCTTACTACCTATAGCACAGCATGATTTGGCCTATCTCAAGTAAACCGTGTTCGAAATTCGCCTACTTGATTTGTGTATTTTGTTAAATCCTGATGATGTTTTTCTGTCCAGGGTAGCACCACGTACGCAACTTGTAGATCCATCATATCATCCTACAATCGATGAGATAATCGACACAAGTACCTGATAGAATAATCACAAAATCACTAAAATTTTCTAACCACATTTCGTCCATGGTTAATTAAGCCGGAGGAGTGCTTGGATTTATTAAAAGGTGGTCAAAAGAATTCGATGATCCTTATTTAACTAAAACTTTATTTTTTTCGCTAGTCCGTCCGATTCTGGAGTATGGGTCTCCCGTCTGGAGTCCACATTACGGAATACATATTGGTCGTATTGAATCTGTACAACATAACTTTCTTCTTTTTGCTTTACGGCGCCTAAACTGGGATGCAAATCTTAACTTCCTTCTTATTCTAGTAGACTTCTGTTGATTAATTTACCCTCCCTAGCCAACCGTAGAACGATGCTTGGTACTATCTTTATTTATAACCTTATACATGGTGATATTGACTGCCCCGACTTGATAAGTCGGCTTAACTTTTCTGTGCCAAGTAGATTAACTAGAAATTATATTCCCCTAATATTAAATCATTGTGGATCTAACTATGCCTTGCATGAGCCTTTCAGAGTATTATGTTCTGACTATAATAGACTTTTTCCTATAGTCTCAAATCTTGACTCTCTTGATCTTATTATTACTTTTTTCCCCGGACTTTTACCTATATTTTCTTATCTCCCGTCTATCTTCTCGCGAATCGTGCCGTACGATACACGGCTGCGCCCCTCGGTCGGTTCGGCAAGTAAAAAAAATTGCCATAGTATCGATTAGAAAAATTGATTTTTTAATGTTCCTGTCTCAGAGCCCAGCAGAAAATACACATCCTTTGTCACTCAAAGTAGAGAATATCAGTTTTTATACCCTTGCAGAGGGTATTATAATTTTGGTCAGAAGTTTGTAACGCAGTGAAGGAGACGTTTCCGACCCTATAAAGTATATATATTCTTGATCAGGATCAATAGGGGAGTCGATATAGCCATGTCCGTCTGTCCGTCTGTCCGTCCGTCCGTCTGTCCGTCTGTTTCAATACCGTTTGCGAGCTCAGTTTAAAAGCTAGCGATCTGAAACTTTCACACTCGTCCTAAAACAAGTGTACGCAGATCAAGTTTGAAAACCGGCCCGATCGGATGTCTATATCCTATAGCTCCCATAGGAACAATCGGATATAACTTGCAAGAATGGAAGATATTTCGCGCAGTGTAAAAGCTATTGACATAAATCTTTCCAAATCTTATTTTTTTATGCGTACCATGATCAGGGTAAAAGCGCGTGGCGATCGGACGTCTATATCCTATAGCTCCCATAGGAACAAAAGGGTAAAATCGGTTAATATTTAATTATTTTTAGGATATTTCGCGCAGTATACAAGCTATTGACATGAATCTTTCCAAATTGTATTTTTTTATGCATACATTGATTAAGGTGAAAGCGCGTGCCGATCGGACGTCTATATCCTATAGCTCCTATAGGAACAATAGGGTGAAATCGGTCCAAGTTTGATGATTATCAGAATATTTCGCGAATTGTGTAAGCTACTATCATAAATTTTTCCAATTCTTATTTATTTACGCATATCTTGATTAGGGTAAAAACGCTTGCCGCTCGGAAGTCTATATCTTAAAGGAGATAGGAAAAATTGTTTAAGGATGCGAAAGTATCTCTTTTTTTCTATTTGTATATGACATTTTTGCAGTATAAAAGCAATTAACTTGAAACGATGCAAATCTAGTTTACTTATGTATACCTTATTCCTTTCGCTACTTTTTCACTTTTAGCAATTTCGGCAAAGTCTGCAAGGGTATTAAAACTTCGGCTTGCCGAAGTTAGCTTCCGTCCTCGTTATAGGTACTTTTTGGACTTTCAAACTCTCCTGGCGTTTTCCAATTTAACGCAATTTTTCGTGAGCTGACTCGTAAAAGCATCGTTATGTCTTACATCGATGACGGCATCATTCCGGTTATGGATGAAGAAATCGCATTGCTTAACCTGAGGGAGGTTATTGACACCTGTTCAGTTATGATATCGAGTTGAATCTAAAAAAATGTCATTTTTTAAAAAAGCTAATACAGTTCCTCGGCCATATTATAAAAAAAAAGAGATTTATCAAATCCCTGAAATATCTGATAGGCACATTAAAATCATTCCCGACTGCAACGCCTTCACAAAAACTTTGGAGAAGCAAAGTCTTTGCACACGTGTCGCTCGCTGGGTCCTATTTTTACGATTATGAGCATCGATCCGGAACTATTGCTTCTTCTGGACAAAGGAGACGTCTACTTGCTTCATGTGGATTTTTTAGGTCCGTTAGATTCCGCCAATAAAGACTACAAGCACATCTTAGCCGTTGTGGATTCGTTTACCAAGTTCTGCTAAATCGACTTCCTCGAACGACGTACAAACTGCAGTATTTGGCAACCCTGCCACCATCAATTCCGATAGAGGGTCTGCAGGGTTTGCAGGACTTCTTAAAGTAATGCGACGAAGAAAACATCAAACCCATCAAGACGACCACAGTACTCCCACGCGTGAATGGGCAAGTCGAGAGATTGAACGCAACTACCAAGTGGTATAAGCACATTTCCTAGATCGATCGCCACAGCTCCATTCGAGCATTTGATAGGCTGCAAATTGCATTCGAAAGAGGACATCAAGCTACAAGCTTGATCAACAAGGAGGCGATAGCAGCGAACTGTAACGAGCGAACCGATTTGAAAAGCAAAGCTAAGACTCAAATTTCTATGGTCCAGGACGAAAATAGAAAGACCAAGCAAGCCAATCAGTATACGCCGGTGATATTGTCGCAATTAAAATGACACAATTTGTCGGGGGCGTGAAGTTGAAACCTAAATACTTGGGTCCGTACTAGATTGTCATTCAAAGGCAATAACCCGAACGATGTCAAGAAGATCGTCAATTTTTATGGTCCCATTAATTCTTTGACTTGTGCTGAATACTGAAATCGCTGATGACGACGAAGATGAATTCGAGGCGAAATTGGGGTGTGTGGGGTGTGTCTGCTTTGGGAAGCAATCATTCCACAATAAGTTTACCCTAGACAACAACCTTTTTGTGCTGAACGAAACGAACGACGAAATGCAAGAACGATATAAAAAGTAAAGAAGAAAGACGAGATGTAAGGGAGATGAAAGACGAACGACGAGAAACGGAGGAGGAGTTGAGTTCGAGCCTTTGACGAGTACGGTCCTATTAACCAAATCTAAACTACAAATAAACTAAAATACTAAACCAAAAAGCTTAAAAATCACACATATATGTAGTGTCTAAAGGTTTTTATTTAACAAAATGGCATTTTCAGACTAAATTATCTTGTAGTTTTAAGCCATAACAATTTAATGCACCTCTTCTACTCATTCATGGTGTTCATATTAAAATGTATTTTTTGCAAAATTTAGATTCATCGAAATAAAAACAGGTTTGCGACACAAATTATCCATAAAAACCGATACTTTTTAGAATTTTCACAAGAACATTTTCACAAGCTCGCCAATCGTGTAAATGAACTACATAAAGAAAAAGTAAAAAAAAAGGGCTAAGCAAATACGAGAATACTATCGATTTAGTTGATAATTGTAATGCTTCAAAGACTGAATTTTTGAATAATATTACACAATAGAAATTTGGTGTTAAAAATAACCACAAAATGTTAAATTATACAAAGCATCTTGTCTACGTATTTTGTGGTGGTTTTTTCTCTTGTTGTTATTCTTAAAAAATCGATATCGCTAAGTACTGTAAACTATGGTATTACCGAAAAAACTCTTGCAATTAAATTTCGAGTTGAGTGCTATGCTACAAAAATAAAGTTGAGTTTTTTAGCAGGTGCTGTAAATCGAAATAGATTTCTATTACTTATTTTTTAATCTCCAAAACCAATGGTTTTATTAATAGTGTGCTTTGGAAATGTAATTCGCCTTCACGCTTTATAGTGTTCACTGGTAGCTTACAAGAAAAAGTCTACTTTCAGTTTTGTGCACTGTTTCAGACTAAGAGTCAGGAATGAGTCTCCCACTAGCGAGCCATCCAAGTATCCAATTGTCAGATGGGTGTAATCTTTTTAGTCTGAATAGGTTTGTAAGTGAGAGGAGTCTTGTTCTGAAACGTGTCGTATAGATTCCCGAGAAAGGCTAGGCGTCAAAATAGCCTTAAAAAGAAGAAGCCATCTTGTCTTCCTGGCTTTTACCGAGTGAAAAAACAGGCAGCCCCAATATGCTGCTTCCAGGTAAGTCGCCTGTCTGTGGTAAGCCCAAGGCAGAGTGCTTGATGGGAACACCGACCAGTGTAATGCGAAATGTGTTCAGCCTGTTTAGCGAGTGAGTGGACTTCGCAGGATTAAAAGCTAATCTCAAAAAATATATTTCTATACTTCTACCTTCGTGTAAATTACTTTTTGGCTTATGAATTTATCAATCTCATTACTAATATTCGCAGTCCTGATATTACCTATATCGGTATAATTAATATTTTTGAGGTTTCAAAGTTAAGTATCAGAAGCCCTTAATGAATATGCACCGAATTAATTTTAATTCATTTAAGAAATTAAATTTTAATAAAGTTTCTGTTTCTTGGTGAGTATGCATAAAAATGGAAATAGATCAATATATTGGTATAAAATGTGTGGTGTAACCGCTTTATATGGAGATTATCAATTATTGAGTCAAGCGGAGTCCGACCAGTTGGCGTTCTGAATTTTAAGTTTCCTTACTCAACCGTCACGGACTTGGCCAGGTTTCTGGGGCAGTCAACGTCGCACCCGCGCAATACTGCAATATGATAGGATAGGAGTTGCATGGGGATTACGGTGAGAATTCCCTGCAGACAGTCAACGGTGCGGGGGATCTCCAGGTGCCGGGAGGAGAAAGCCTGGGTCTCTTCGTCTCCCTCCTCGCAGATGATAATCGGGCATCCCTTGCGAGATGTGACCTGCTGCAGGGCGTTCATGCACTTGACGTAAACGGGGTCCCGTAGAACGATCATTAGAACTGGCATGGAGTCGTCCACGAGGGCCAGCGGCCCGTGCTTCAGTTCACCGGCCATGATGCCCTCGCTGTGCATGTAGGTCAGCTCCTTGACTTTCTGAAAAGCGTTTCGACAGGGATAGAGAAAATCATTGTGCGGAAGGCATGTTTTCTTACCAGGGCACCTTCCAGACAGGTGGCGAAATTGTAGCCGCGACCCATGATCAGTAGCGATTTGTGTTGGTAAAGGTCCTTTGCCAGCTCTTGAACTTTCGAGTCCAGCTTGAGAACGGCCCGGATCTGGTCTGCGAGCTTGGACAGCGCCTGCAGGATCTCCAGACGTCGCTGCTGCAGGGAGAGGCGATCTTCGGACATAACCAGCGCGAACATCACCAGTGAAATGAATTGCGAAGTGTATGCCTTAGTAGAGGCCACTCCAATCTCCGGACCAGCGTTTATATGGACTCCACAGTGCGATTCGCGGCAGATGCTGCTGCCCACTGTGTTTGTGATGCCCACGATCAGGGCTCCCCGCTGCTTGCAGTAGCGCAAAGCCATTAGGGTGTCGGCGGTCTCGCCGGACTGCGATATGAAGAAGCAGACGTCGTCGCGGAAGATTGGTGTGTTGCGGTCCAGGAAGTCAGACGCCAGCTCGACCATTACAGGAAGTTCAGTTAGTTCCTCGAGCAGCTGCCTGGTGGCTACGGCGCTGTGGTAAGAAGTACCACACCCAATCAGCATAAGACGGCGACAGCGTTTAATCTCCGGAATGTAGTCCTTGATACCGCCGAGAACAATCGCGTTACCGTCAAAGCGAACGCGGCCGCGCATCGTGTTGACCACGGAGTCTGGCTGCTCGAAGATTTCCTTCTGCATGAAGTAGTCATAGTTTCCCTTCATGATTTGTTGGATTTCCATCTTTAATGTGGTGATCTCGCGGGCATGCGGGTCATCCAGGCTCTTCTTTAGGCGATGGATACTCAGCGTTCCATCACGAACTGCGGCCACGTCGTCGTCCTAAAGAAAAAGTTTTTATATATTATCACTTTGGACGGCAGTACATTAGTAACAATGCGCACCGGGGGAGTGTGCGAAAGTGATGTACGCATAAAAAAAATTCGCTGTGATGATCGGAACGGAACGATTGATTTACCGATCGAAAGATATCGCTTTTAATCTCTCTTCAAATTTCAAATGGGTGTCACTTTGTTTGTTTTTGGACATGCAGCTCGATATAAAATAAATAATTGGTTTCACTTCGAACGCCCAAAGATATACGTCGTTAAAAATTTATTTTCAAGGCCCAATTAATTTTCCTTGTCCAAATTTTTCGAAGTAAATAGTTTCTTAATTATAGCTAAAAGTGAAATTTTAGGATGTTAATTCATTTAATGTTTATTTGAATGCGCAGACAACATTGCTACACCAGTTTGATGGGGAAAAATTCGTATCAAATAAATAAATTCTATACGCTGCAGATATGGAAATATATAAAGATTTATGTATATTTTCATACCATTGCAGAGGGTATTATAATTTTGGTCAGAAGTTTGTAACGCAGTGAAGGAGACGTTTCCGACCCCATAAAGTATATATATTCTTGATCAGGATCAATAGGGGAGTCGATATAGCCATGTCCATCTGTCCGTCCGTCCGTCTGTTTCAATACAGTTTGCGAGCTCAGCTTAAAAGCTAGCGATCTGAAACTTTCACAGTCGTCCTATATCCCCAATCGGATGTCTATATCCTATAGCTCGGATATACATTGCAAGAATTGATGATATTTCGCGCAGTGTAAAAGCTATTGACATGAATATTTCCAAATCGTATTTTTTTAAGCATACCTTGATCAGGGTAAAAGCGCGTGCCGATCGGACGTCTATATGAAATCGGTCCAAATTTAATGTTTTTCAGAATATTTTGCGCATTGTATAAGCTATTGACATAAATGTTTCCAAGTCTTATTTATTTACGAATGTCTTGGTCAGGGTAAAAGCGATTGCCGATCGGACGTCTATATCTTATAGCTTTCGTAGTAATAATTGTTAAAGGCTGCAAAAAGATCCCTTTTTTCTATTTTTATATGACGTTTTTGCAGTATAAAAGCTATTGACATGGAACTATGGAAATCTAATTTATTTGTGTATACCCTAATCTTTTCGCTACTTTTTCAATTCTAGCAATTTTGGCAAAGTCTGCAAGGGTATTAAAACTTCGGCTTGCCGAAGTTAAATTCCGTCCTCGTTATACTCGTTACTCGTAGAGTAAAAGGGTATATTGTATTCGTGCAAAAGTATGTAACAGGTAGAAGGAAGCGTTTCCGACCCTATAAAGTATATATATTCTTGTTCAGGATCACTAGCCGAGTCGATCTAGCCATGTCCGTCTGTCCGTCTGTCCGTCTGTCTGTCCGTCTGTCCGTCTGTCTGTCCGTCTGTCTGTCCGTATGAACGCTGAGATCTCGGAAACTATAAAAGCTAGAAGATTGGCATTTTGCATCCAGATTCTAGGAGTTCCTACGCAGCGCAAGTTTGTTTCAAAAAGGTGTCACGCCCCCTTTAACGCCCACAATTGCTTATCAACGATTTTAAAAATTTAAATATTTCGGAAAAGTAAAAATGCAGTTTTATTGTGTTTATCAATACCTATCGAAATGTAGAAGAAATTTTTCAAATCGGACCATTCGGTAAAAAGTTATGCGTGATCAAAGTTTCTATCTCCATCTCCCTCGCACTCCCTTTACCTGAGTAACGGGTATCTGATAGTCGGGGCACCCGACTATAGCGTTATCTCTTGTTTTTTATTATATTATTTCTTTGGGATTTGGTATTATTTAATTATTATTGAATTACTGTTTTAATTAAATTAAAATCGGACAACAATATCATATAGCTGCCATAGAAATTATGGCAAAATGCAAAATAGACATAGCTTCATTGTTTTTAGTAATATAGGCATAGAAATCGAAATGAAGTCGATTTGTAATAAATGCAAGGGTACATAAACTTCGGCCTTCCGAAGCTTGCTTCCTTTCTTGTTGATATACATTCTTTATCAGCATCACCAGACGATCTGTCTGGCCGTCCGCAAAGCTATCAGGATGAAACTATTTAAAAGTTTGTCTGCCTTCATGTTTTCTATATGGTTGAAACATTAATAAACCTTAATGCATGTTTGAAACCCTAATAAAAATTGTACTTTAACAAAAATTAGGAATTTGCAAATGTTAACTTTTTACTTGCATCAATTATACATCGATATAGTAAAAAACATTGGTCCAATTCAAATATATTTTGAGTTAATACACAACAGATAGTCCATTTCCTCAAATGTGTAACATTTATACGAATAGACGGAGGGATATGGCTAACTCGACTCGGGTAATGATTCTGATATTCTTGATCGCTTTACTAACTTTTTTGCAGAATCCCTTTGTAAAATGTACTATAAAATGTGTAATTTACAATTTATTTTTTGTGCATAAATTTGGCTTCTATGCTTGATTCCAAAGAGTTATCAAATTATGTGTATAAAATAAAGAAACCAATCAAATTTCTCACCTCCAAATAGATTACTCGGTTAGTGTGCTCAATAACGGCAGAGGCATCTGATGCGAAGAAGTATTCTACCTCCTTCTCTTCCAAAGGCATGAACTCAGAAGTGCTCTCCGAACGCGGCAGCACTGGAAGTTCACGGGATTGTCCATGTGGGCGAATTTCTATTTGGTTAATTTTTCATTTTGATTGCGTGGCATTGATGTTTCGTTGCGTTGGATGTACAGTTGCAAATACATTGTCGATTTTAGCGGTGGCATTGATGTTATTGCGTGCCAATTCAGTTTCACAGTGGCAAAGGAAACGGAAAAGGACGATGCAATCGCACCATATGTGTAAAAGAGCCGGTGCATGTGTGTGGGTTAATGGGGTTTGAGTGTAGGTGCCCACATCAAATTGGAAATACCAGGAAAAAGTAGAATGAAATGAAAATAAATTCGGTGAAAGGCAATTTAAATCTTACATCATTGGGAATTATTACCAATGTCGGGCAGATTAAAAAATATTCAACCAAAAATTAAAGTTGTTTATCCATTTTTTAACTATGGCTATACGAGAGAATTAATGCTTATAGTTTTTTTACGGATGATTAATAAATGAATAATATCCTTCTTAAATGTTTATCAATATTTAGGGCACTGCTATCTTATGCAAATAAAAATGTAAGGGGCTTAAGTAAATTAAAACCAGCATTCATTAAAAATTTATGTGTAAGTGCTAGTTTATATGAAAGGATTCCTAGCACTATAGGCTGACCAAAACCAAGCAAGCAAGTACATTTATAATTAAAATAAATAAAGTTGTAGTTACCTTGAGGTTTGCCAGAGTCGGCATCTAAACAAATGCGAAAGAACAAAAAAAAGTGTGAGTATCACGTTAATAAATGATTTAGCCAAAATCAGTATTAGTTAGTCGAGAAAAGGCGAGAGGGTTTCTTTAGCAAAATTTTTTTTAGCGTATATTATGCCCCGCAGACCCAAAATATCGATTTGAAAAGCAAACGGGTTAGTCAGGTGACTACCTTGATCGAGGCTTTGCTTCTTGTCATCTACGGTTCGACATCGACGCCAAGAGCGGCACAGTTTCAGCAGGTAGGTCGGGAAGGACCGTCGGAGGGTGGGTGACAACAGGAGATACGCAGTAGCGAGCGCACACGAAACACAGATAGTTATTTACATAAAGATAGAAGACAAAGGACATAGCTGGTGAAGAAACTGCATGTGGGGGAGCAGCGATAGACGGAGACCCACTGGTCCTCTTACCTTTTCCGTAAAGAATTGGGATGTGGTCCGTGGCCAGGCGCGTCTTTGTCTTGATTCCCACCAACAGGGGCGAGCTGCGCCGCGAGGCCACACACTCTCCGGGAAAGTGCTTGGACTTCACCGCAATGGCAAAGGCGCCTTCCTGCACAACGATTATTACATTTTAGGTGGTGACTATATAGCTGCGCCCAGAGCCAACTTACCACTTGAAGGATGGCCTGCTCGACCAGCTCGCGGAACGAGTATGTGGGGTGGGTCTTCCACAAATGGTGAACCAGCTTCGCGAAAACCTCCGTGTCCGTGTCCGACTCAAACTCGTATCCGCGCTTTGCCAGAAAGGTCTTCACGTCGTTGTAATTGGTGATGATACCGTTGTGAACGACGACAAAGCCGTTTCCGTCGTCAGAGCGGTGTGGGTGAGAGTTTCTTTCGCAAGGAACGCCATGGGTGGCCCAGCGGGTGTGGGCGATGCCGATGTGGGTGAGGACGGGCTCGCTGTAGTCTCCTCCGCTGAAGTCTGATAAAAAAATGCAACGTGGCTTGTTCCCTATAGGTTTAAATAGACCACAGTACTTACGCTCTTGAATCGCCTCCTCAAGCACTTTGACCTTGCCGGTACGCTTCACCATCACGATGTTTTTGTTATCTGGTGAGTCGATGGCCACGCCCGTGGAGTCGTATCCGCGGTATTCCAATCTCTTCAAGCCCGTGACTAGCAGGTCAAGGACCTCCTGGCGCGACTTGGGCGTCAGGTAATTCAGATAGGCAAAGATTCCTTTAATCGTGAAATGTGTGGAGATTAAAATTCATGTTCTCTTGGCAATCAAAATTTGTAAAATGAAGACCTCAAACATTTGGTAAAAGCTAAACCTAATCGAAAAGCTCACATTACAAGGAAATCAGTTTGGAGATGGATTTTAAGACGGAATGAACTTCGGTTTCCTATGTGAATGCCATTTTAAGTATTTTGGGACAGCTTTAGCAGTAAGTAAAATACTCAGAGGCTGAAATAGTCAATCTGGAGTACTAACTAAAAATCTAGTTTCTGATAATAATAATAATAATAATACCTTCCAGAATTTTAAGGAAATTATTATTTCAGTTTTACATAAATCAAAGTATGATTTGACCAGTGGATAAGTTAGCTGTTTCGCCTTTTTGAATACAAAAGTACAAAAATGTAAATAAATGTTTTACTGATTTTCATAAGGTTTCAATAATCCAAAACAGGTATGTACTTATAAAAAACACCTAGGCGTATTGTTTTTATACACACTCGTGCTAAATTGTCATGGAAATAACATTAATTTCTTTATTCATTCAATGGAGTAAAAGTAAAATTCAATTATACTCATTGTTGCAAGTTTTGTTTATAGTATACGAATAGAATGTTATTATTGGTAAAAAAAAAATGTACAATCATGAAATTTTTAAAGTTTTAAGTTTTTAAATGGAAGAATTTTAAAAGAGCATTGCTCGCGTTCAAAAAGAGGGACCAGGTTAGAGTAACATTAGCTTGTCCACGTTCTAAGTATTGATGGTCAAAATGACGGACGTTTATCTTGGGAAGCAACAACAATAGTAATACTTTTCGAAAATACTCATAGAACACGACTTCTGTTTATTAAAATCTTATACAATGTTGACATTCGCAAATGTAACTTTTAACAAAGCGACTGATAGCAGGAAAAAAAGGGCCAAAAACTAAATCAATGTTACTTATGTTTTCTAACGCCGATATTTGCTACTGTGTTTTTTCGAGACAGATTTATGAGTTGCAGTTACCGATGCGACCGTTCACTTGTAAGTTTTGGTGCTATAGTAGTTAATATTCTTGAATAATTAATATTTTGGAATATCTAATATTCTTCTTTCCGTAGTCAAAATACCTTTTATTACTGTAGAGATACTCATGTTCAATGTTTCAAAATCGGTTCAAGCTGCTTCATTCTAAACAGTAACATCAGTGGACCATAGGAGACCTTAATGTTTTTCTCAACGTCTACCATGTACTGATATCTCCAGTAAGCCAGATTACGATTTATTAAAAGCCTTTTGTAAAATGTATGGATGCTTATATTAATTGTGCACGGTTATTTTACATTACTTTTAATGATAGCACATATTCACCCTAAAGGACTGTTTAAGGAGTACAATTTCTTGATTGCAGTCATTTCATGTCAAACATGCCACGTAATTTTTAATAAGAAAAGAAATGTATTTAGTTGAAAGATTCAATTAAAAATATTTTTTGAAATCGTATTATTGTGTGTATATACTGATCGTGTTACAAAATCTTGCTAATCTGGCGTCCATATCCTAAAGCTGTCATTAAAACGATTAGGTCTATATCCACAGCTGCCATAAGAACGTTCAAAATTGTAAAATTTTGCTGTTGTTTTTTATTCGCTGGTTTTTTATCAAAGTGAGTGCGCTTAGAGCTATCCCCTGAATTTTGATCAAATTCGGTTGAATTGATTGGTTTTTAAACTTTCCAAATTGTAATTTTCGTTCTAATTTTCGTGAAAAAAATGACTTTTTAGCAATCGTCCTTCTTTCTTCAAAAAACAAAATAGTGGTTCTTTTGATTTGGAATAACTCTTTACAAAATAAAGTGACAGCTCATATAAGAAAAGACACTGTGTAAACGCCAAGTAAAGCGTTGTTTTTATCGGCTTTGCGACTTCATAAAGCACATTAGGAGTAGTCTAAGGTAAATATCCTATTCCTAATAGATAAATTTCAATAAGTTAAAAAAAAATAAAAATCAGAACTAATTACAGTATTTTAAGCAAGTTTTGGAATTTTGTTAAAAAATTAAAAAAAATTCGAAAAATATATAAAAACAAGAAAGGAAATTCTAACTTCGGGCGGAGCCGAAGTTGATATACCCTTGCAGAATATTCTGTAAATTATATTATCCAAAATTATTCATATGATGCATTCTTCCTAACTTTAAAAACACTAAAGTTATGACATTTCCGATCGTTCAGTTATATGGCAGCTATATGATAAAGTCGCCCGATCGGACTCGTTCCGACTTATATACTACCTGCAATAGAAAGACAACTTTTGGGAAAGTTTTAAGCAGATAGTTTTAAAACTGAGGGACTAGTTTGCGTAGAAACGGACAGACGGACTTGGCTAGATCGACTCTCCTGGTAATGCTGATCAAGAATATATAATATATACTTTATAGGGTCGGAAATGTCTCCTTCACTGCGTTGCAAACTTTTGACTGAAATTATTATACCCTCTGCAAGGGTATAAAAATGAAAGACGGAAAATCGACTTAAAATTGTTTATCAATCTCACTTACTGGTGTAATGTTCAGACTAGAACGTCGTTCGCTTTTTATATTTCCATCTTTTAATATAAATAATAACCTGTATTTCTAGTGTAATTTTTATCAGTTTCATAATTAAAACCTAATCGACACTGCTTTGATCCTGATCAAGAATATACATACATAATTTGTAGGGCCAGAAACACTTCTTCTACCTGTTCCATAATTTCCAGGGAATACAGTATGCCCTTATCTTCTACAAGGAATACAAATGAAATAGTCCAAACATTCTTCTTCGATGTAGATTCATAAGCTAGAGATATGTACATGCTTTTCGCTGACACCCCTAAGAAATCTAACTTTGTGGTTTAAAATTGATTTAATTTGAGTCTAATGACAATATGAAGGACGGCTGCCTAAAAGTCATGAGTGAAATCAATGGTGACTTAATAAATAGGGTCTTATGTGAGAAAAAAGTGGATTCTAGTTGAACACTTTTTTGGAACTGAAATGTATAAAAAAAAATTGACTGCTGAATATTTGTTATTTTTAGTTAATAGTTTTCATGCAGTAAAATTGCTTTATGAGTCCATGTAAAAAAGTCATTAAAAGTGAATTATATTTTTAATATTTATTGAAATGAAGTCAATGAATATATAGCTTAGCAACATTTATATTTGTTCTTTGTTATTTTATTGTTGGCCTCAGATTCTCTAAAGTACTCGACAGAAAAATATGGTTTTGAGGTAATATGACTCATTCAAAAAACTACATTTCTTAAAATGTTCGGAAAATCTTTTTTCTTAAAACCCTTATTAATAAAATAATAATCATAACCTTTTCGTATTATATCAAAAAAATACTTATTAAAATTATGGTGAGCTGCCCCACTTTTTAAAAATATTCAAATGATCTTCCTCCCTGGTTTTTAGGTCCTAAGTTAGTAATTAGGGCGGTCCATATATTACGCGAGGTAATATGGTGGGGAGGGAGGGTCAAAAATTGACAAAATTATTGTGGCGTAATATATGAACAGCCCTTGGCAAAATGTATACACTTAGAATTTCGTTTATAACCCTCTTTACTTACCACACATTTTGTTTAAAAAGGATTTTACTTGAACTATATTCTTAGTAGGTTTCTGTAATGAGAAAATATTATGAAAGATTTAATTATAAATTATGATAGTATAAGCTTACAAAATAATGTAATAAGAACTGATTAGCTAAATTACCAGCCGAGATTAAAAATTTTGTAATCTATATTAATTGTAATACAGTGCACTATGGGGCCAATATCAATAAATTAATAATTAATTCACGTAAAACATTACCAATAGTTTTTTGGTATATCTAAATTATGTTTCGGCCAGCCGAAGTTTATATACCCTTTTAGTTATTACAAATCGACTACATTTCGATTTCTATCTATAAAATAACATGAAAAACCAAAAACCTCGTTGTTTTTAAACGTGTACGGAAAACCTCTTTGATATTATTATTTTTTACGTCTATGGACATACAGCTTAATTTGTATACCCTTTTTGTTTAATCGAAAAATCGACTTAGCTCTATTACATATACAAATAAAAATCGATTAGATGGAATGAGACGTAAATGTAATAGTTGTTGTTTGCAGATAATACATTTTTCTAGTTTTGTTGTTACATTTTGGTTTTCTTACAAACATTTAAAGTGGTTTTATTTATTTGCATAAGAGGGATTTGAATCCAACCAAAAGAGATTTCTGTCAAACAAAGCTAATATTCAAAAAGAGATTCTTGAATAATATCAGTAAAGAAATCGGAAGCACTTTGACTTCAAATTTATACAATTTATTTAAAACCCGTTATGGGGTATGGTATTTAAATTTTTTTTGTTGGCCTCTTTTTTTAAATTTTTTAGAATTTAATTTTAGATTCATCCGAGTAAAACTTCCGAATTTATGGGCAGTTAAACGTAGGTGATTTAGCTCGTTTTCTCGATGTCCAAAACTTTAAAAACGCTCTCCAGAAAAGTTGCAATTTCAAAGTCGGTGAACACGATCCTGCAAAATCTACTAAACGAATCGTTTTGAAATTTTGCACACAATTTCTGTACCTAAATCCTTAGGTACTTTTTTTACTAATTATTTTTTATTTTATAATAACAAATATATCGAATTTTTAGGCTAAAATCACGTTTTGGACTTTACTAAAAATCCAAAAATTGAATAAAAAAAAAAAACTCAACGTAGTTACCTCTAGAAACATATTAACTAATAAACATTTTTTTTTTGGTTTTTATACCCTTGCAGAGGGTATTATAATTTCAGTCAAAAGTTTGCAACGCAGTGAAGGAGACATTTCCGACCCTATAAAGTATATATATTCTTGATCAGCATCACCAGGAGAGTCGATCTAGCCATGTCCGTCTGTCCGTCTGTCCGTCCGTCTGTCCGTCCGTCTGTCCGTCTGTCCGTCTGTCCGTCTGTCCGTCTGTCCGTCCGTTTCTACGCAAACTAGTCCCTCAGTTTTAAAGCTATCTGCTTGAAACTTTCCCAAAAGTTGTATTTCTATTGCAGGTAGTATATAAGTCGGAACGAGCCGGATCGGGCCACTATATCATATAGCTGCCATATAACTGAACGATCGGAAAAGCCATAACTTTGGTGTTTTTAAAGTTAGGAAGTTGGGATTTTCTATGGGTTTTATTTTTGGCTAATCAATCCGACCTACCAAATTTCATAAGGATCGGACGACTATATCCTATAGCCGCCATATAACTGATTGATCGGAAAAGCCATAACTTTGGTGTTTTTAAAGTTAGGAAGTTGGGATTTTCTATGGGTTTTATTTTTGGCTAATCAATCCGACCTACCAAATTTCATAAGGATCGGCCGACTATATCTTATAGCTGCCATATAACTGAACGATTGGAAATGACATAACTTTGGTGTTTTTAAAGTTAGGAAGTTGGGACATTTTATGAGTATTAAGAATACATCATATGAATAATTTTGGACAATATAATTTATAAAATATTCTGCAAGGGTATATCAACTTCGGCTCCGCCCGAAGTTAGCTTTCCTTTCTTGTTTCTGATGATCCAGTAACGAGTTCTGCTGTTCACCGCAAAACGTAGTGAAAACGTAGTTTAAATGTTGTACTTTAATATGGTTATAAAATAATTGATCTGACATTAACCGTATCGCTTACAGAATTCATGAAAATAGCCCTCTTTTTGGCCGAATTAACCATATGGATACAACCAAATCTAATTGTGCAAAGAGTTTCTCATATTTTATTCTCTAAAATAACGAATAACTTACAATGTTGTCTAACAACTTTCAATAAATAAAATAACGTCGTTTTTATACCCTTGCAGAGGGTATTATAATTTTGGTCAAAAGTGTGCAACGCAGTGAAGGAGACATCTCCGACCCTATAAAGTATATATATTCTTGATCAGGATCACCTCCTGAGTTGATATAGCCATGTCCGTCTGTCCGTCTGTCCGTCTGTCTGTCCGTCTGTCTGTCCGTCTGTCTGTTTCTACGCGAACTAGTCTCTCAGTTTTAAAGATATCGAACTGAAACTTTGCACACACCCTTCTTTCCTTTGCACGCAGTATATAAGTCGGAACGGCCGGGATCGGACGACTATATCCTATAGCTGTCATATAACTGAACGATCGGAAATGCCATAACTTTGGTGTTTGTAAAGTTAGGAAGTTGAGATTTTCTATAGGTTTTATTTTTGGCCAATCAATCTGACCTACCGAATTTCATGAGAATCGGCCGACTATATCTTATAGCTGCCATATAACTGAACGATCGGAAATGCCATAACTTTGGTGTTTGTTAAGTTAGGAAGTTGGGATTTTCTATGGGTTTTATTTTTAGCCAATCAATCCTACCTATTAAATTTCATAAGGATCGGCCTACTATATCCTATAGCTGCCATATAACTGAACGATTGGAAATGCCATAACTTTGGTGTTTTTAAAGTTAGGAAGTTGGGATTTTTGATGAGTATTAAGAATGCATCATATGAATAATTTTGGAGAATATAATTTTCAGAGTATTCTGCAAGGGTATATCAACTTCGGCTCCGCCCGAAGTTAGCTTTCCTTTCTTGTTAAAGTTAAGCTGGTAACGTAACGTAAGCTACAAAATTTCGTTTTTTATTAGGAATATAATTTTCTTGTATTAAATTGAATTCCCAAACAGCGACAGAATGAAGTAATTGTATATTTCTAAAGAAATAGCCTATGTACCAGGTAAAATATACAAAAACAAGAGAGAACGCTATAGTCGGGTGCCCCGACTATCAGATACCCGTTACTCAGGTAAAGGGAGTGCGAGGGAGATGGAGATAGAAACTTTGATCATGCATAACTTTTTAACGAATGGTCCGATTTGAAAAATTTCTTCTACATTTCGATAGGTATTGATAAACACAATAAAACTGCATTTTTACTTTTCCGAAATATTTAAATTTTTAAAATCGTATATGAGCGATTGTGGGCGTCAGAGGGGGCGTGGCACCATTTTGAAACAAACTTGCGCTGCGTAGGAACTCCTAAAATATACATGCAAAATGCCAATCTTCTAGCTTTTATAGTTTCCGAGATCTCAGCGTTCATACGGACAGACAGACGGACAGACGGACAGACGGACATGGCTATATCGACTCGGATAGTGACCCTGATCAAGAATATATATACTTTATAGGGTCGGAAACGCTTCCTTCTAGCTGTTACATACTTTTGCACGAATACAATATACCCTTTTACTCTACGAGTAACGGGTATAAATACAGACCCATTGAAAATTTAAGTGTTGACAAAGCAATAATGGCAACGATTGTATATATTTTTTTCGAGATCTACTTTTAGTAAAACAATTAAAATTGCGTAACTTTTACCCGGTCATACAATGATGCCTGCCGATTCTTTAAAAGAATTTAGTTTATGCAAACTGTTTGGGATCTTAGAAAATGTCCTGCAGTTATTAGAAACTGTAGATGGCTTAAAACTCAAGTTCCGCAACTTCGAATTAAAACAAGAAAACCCATTTTTTTCATTTTGAGCTATTCTTGTGCACAAAAATGTTTATATCTTCGAAAGCATTTCTGTCAATTTTTGTGCTGAATAACTTAGCCTTAACAGCTCTTTCACTCAGTAGAAAATTGAGTTTTAAGGCTAACGTGGAACTGTAGCTATTGAATTATTGGTTATATTTTAGGCCTGGACTTAAAAATAAAATGGCGCAATTAAGATAATCTCATTTAAGAAACCTTAAAATAGTCCATATACCTAAATAATCGTTTATTTATTTTATTAATGGTTCAATAAAATATCTTTGCATTTTTAAATAATAAAAGGTTAAAATTTAAACTAGTTAAACAAATGTTAAATTATCTAATTATCCCTATCTTTATCTTCCATCTCAAAAATATAATAGGCTCTGAAATGCAGCTTGAAATCAGGTAACATTATCTTATAATCTTTCACCTATTTCGTTTTTTCAAACACAGTTTTAATGCAGTGGTTTGGACTGGCTTGCTAGTAATATAATAAAACGATTAAATTTAGATAATTTGATTGAATATGATATTTCTTGCAGATGAAACTTGATTTTCCTCAAAGACTTCCGGGTTAGGGAAATCCTTTTTGTATCGAAATTCGGAAATTTAAGCCACACTTAGAAATATCGATTCTGAAGATCCTAAGATTCTAATGGTAATAAAAGAAGCTCAACAAAGTAGGATTATTGTTACCTTTTTGATAACTTTTATGGGTTCGAATGTATTGAACTTTTTATATACTTCATTAATATATATTATAAATCTAAAGATAATTGTAGTGCAGTCGAGTCCTGTTTTAAAACAGACAATGTTTAAGATTTTAGGTACCATATGTGTAAATTTAAGAACTATTAACAAGATCTGCAAATAAAAAATTTTGTTCACTTTCAATTCATTTCAATTTTCAGCAATTATTGCTTGAAATCAAAACGTTTTGTGTAAAAATAAATTTAAAAATATTTTATCGGGTATAAATAATCGTAAGAAGATTGCAAATTTAAAAAAGTCTTCCGAAAATATTTTAGAAAATATAGTTCTGAAAATCTACTTATTACAAATTTTAAGAATTTAGAAACGTGGCTAGATTTGGACTTAAGTACACATAATAACTCAATTTGAACAACGATAAAGAAGGTTTCACCTAAAAAATGATTTGTTGCTTAAAAAATTAAAAATGTTTTTAATGGCAATATATAAAAACGGTAAATTTATAAAACTGAATCAATACAGTTAAATTACCTTGTTTTTTTTTTTGGTTATTTTATGATTTTGAAGCGAATAACCCGTCTGAAATTGACACAATGCCACTTGCCCTGCCAACAGCTCCAATATACGTATATAATAACAAGAAAGGAAGCAAACTTCGGCTATATCCCCTTATGTACCCAGTTATTACAAAAAGACTAAATTTTGATTTATATGGCTATATTACTAAAAACCATGAAGCTATGTCAATTTTGAGCTTCATTTTACCATCGTTTCTATGACAGCTTTAAGAAATTGTTGACCGATTTTGATAAAACTAAAAGTGTAATTCTGATAAAGTAAATAATTACTATATCTCAATATTTTGATAAATAGAAAAACAACAAAATAAAATTTGAAAAAAAAACAAGTGAAAAAATTCGAAAACTTTTGCGGGTTTTTAAAGTTACTTTAAGTTTTAAATGATTATCATAGGAAATGTAATTATACGAATTTTGTTTAGTTATATTTATTATTTTTATCATATCAAAAGAATGTAATTATACGTATATATTTTATCTATATTTATTATTTTTATAATAGGAGACCATTTTTAAAATCGTTTACTAGCATCTATTTTTGCAGATTTAGAAATCCATATGTATGTCACCGTATGGAATATTTTTTTATAGATATGCCTTCAAATTAAGAACATAAGCTGAATATATGAAAGATTGCAAGAAATGTGAGATGGCAGTTTCTGGCGTTTATGAAAACTTCATATTAAATAGAATTTTAAATTATTCGAGGATTTACCATTGCTTTTTAGACATTCCTTTCTAAGGAATTTTCAAGAATTCACATATTCTTACAATTGCTCTGCAGACATTCATTTCCAAGGAATTCTAAAGAATATTTTATTAACAAACAAATATTCGATACTTGATTAATGTCCGCAAAAATATTAAAAGATTAATGTAAATTAAGTTTTCCTATCACCTAATTATTTAATACAAAAAAGGTTTCGTTAAAAGCGCGATTATTTTATTATATTCATAGAAAACCATCTTTGTTCTTACGTTTTAAAAGACGTTTTATTCACTGATGAATAAGGGTTTTTTATATGCCAAGAATTAAAAGTTAAATATTCTGAATTCTTTAATAAGATAAAAGGTTATTAAAACTTTACAGGTATTAATAAGAAAAATGTAAATAATTCTCCTATTCTTGAGTATAGATTTCTTAAGCCTTAACTTTTTTCATACTATTGCTAACAGAGGATTTAATTGAAGACTTTAGTTTTTTTAAATTTTTTGACCTATATTTAAAGGTAGAAGTAAGTTGGAATTAAAGTAAAAGAGGGCCATTGTCAGTTACCTTAAACTAAAATATTGTTGTAGACTAATTTTTAAAAGAACTTAAATTAAGTCCTTCAATGACTTAAAACACATACAAGACAGTATGCAATTATTTGCAGTGCACCCAATCAATTTATATGGTAGTGGTCCAGGTATTTAAGCAGTTAAGGCTTGTATCTATCAGAGTTAATTTTAGACACTTAATTATAAAGTAGTTTTATAGAAATAATGATTTTTGGTCCCGATTTTATTAAAGGATATAAAAATAAAAAAATTTAAGTAATTCGAGTAAAGCACATTTGAGAAATTGAAAGTGATACGATATATAAAAGTTAAGCTACATATATAGCACAATATATATAGAAAATCCAGCAATTAAGAGAGTACAATTGCTTTAACAGCCGTAGGCTGTGCTTTCTCGTGGTAAAGAACAAACTAGGAATTTAAATGCGTCACGTAGGCGCCTTTGATCTGCCCTTTCTCTTGACGTTCTTACCGCACAACTGAAATATAATTCCACTTTCCCACTTATAACTCCCTTTATCCTTCTCCCTCGTCCATTAACCATTTCGTTGTTGTGTGTTTGGCATTTTAATTGGCTTTCACGCGTTCGGCGTAATAAAAAGACTATGCCCACCTAGAATAATTATGACCTATGCTTAACTGCAATCCAAATAAACGATTTTCTGCTACCTGCTATTAGACCCCTACAATTTTTAAGACAAACTAATCTAGCGTCAGTGACTCATTCGGACAGTAGTTGAGAGCCATCACAAAAACCGTTAACGGCCTTATCACCTTATCAGAGCAAGTGGGCAAATAAACTGCTTCCTCTCTTGTACTTTTATAGTGAGCTGGGCAAAATTTAGGGGAAGTTCTACCAACTGTAGGAAACTAATTGACAAAGAAAGCACTTTTCATTAATAAACTATACTATGACTGGAATCTTGTACTGCGTAGTGGCACTTAAGTGGCAGGCAATTAACAACTCAATTTTAGCTTTCTTAATAAATGTTATTATAAATTAATATTACCATTTGAAAAAAATGCAAAGTCATGATTTACAACCTTATCTAGAGACTAAAGGTAGTGCATGTAGCATAAAATAACATTTGTTGGGGTAAATATATTTATATTGTATTGAACTAATAAATATTGAATTTAAAAAAAATGGTGGTGATTCTGAAAATCAATTTATAAGGTTATCATAAGGTGAGAATATCAATATCAATTTTGTGACAATTAGCCAGTTATCAGCTTGTGACCATGCGTCATTGCGTCAAAAAACTATAAATAAAACATTTTTCTTGTATTTGTTCATCTGGAGAATGGATCACCCAGATAGAGACTGCTCTCGAAAACTTCCACCCTTTCACCGAAGATAGAAAAGTAAACAAATTGTCGTTGGAAAACCATACTAGATATGCTGTTGGCGTAAGCCGCAAATTTCATTTGGTTACACAGCTTGCTTGGCAGTTGTGTGTGTACTTCCTCGGGGCAGAGCCAATATAATTTATCGGAGTAATTGGGTCTTGATCCACTGGGTCAAATAAATGTGAATACTAAAAATAATTTTTTGCAGCCTATTGCACCATTCGATTTTCCAACAGCAGTCTGGGTTGGCTAACAAAAGCTCAAAAAATTTGGGTACCCAAACAGGTATATTATGTAAGACGAACCATCGAATTTTGACCGCTAATTCGAGTTTTGAGCCGGTTTGCTCTGCATTGCTATTGCCGATTATGTTATTATTCAAAAATTTAATTTAAGATTGCCGCGCTGGCATCGATATCAACGAAACCACTGATTCGAATTAAAATGCGCACAACGTCGCGTTCCATCTTTTTGACAGCGGACTTAGTATGGAATCTCTTTGTGAATGGCCAACATTGTTAACCGCACAGCTGTTAGTCCTGCGTTTTTAGCATATGACGACTTTCTTCACTTGACTCAGACTCACTTGATTCGCTACTTATCGCAGTGCAGTGGGTTGCAGTGCCCGGTCTTTGCTGTCTAACTGGTTGTGGATGGACTTGGTTCGGATCGAGCAGCACTCGCACTGGCCAACTTCGCTGTTAAAATAACACTGAAGCCACTTCAAAGAGCAGCGCGCACTAAATACGGCTGTTTTATAGACCGCTGCTGCGCCACCAGCACCGCCGATAGCCCGATCCACAGCGATCGTTAATGTCAAAGAGTCTTGCCAACTCCCATTCAACACACGCACACCCAGCGAGAGCGTGCAAAGTCGGTTACCAACTCTTACGGCGATAACTCGACGGCGCGGTTGCTCTTCGTGGGCGAGCTACACTCTTAAAGTTACAATTTTACCACTTTTGAGTTTGCTAACAACCAACTGTTGCCCCTCGACTTGAATAAGCTTAGTCACTTATTCAGCCGTCTCCGAATCGGAAAATCGCGCATACAACTCGATAGTACCGGTTTCTTCTTCGATATGACTGCAAAGGTAAGTCCATGTTGTAAGGATCTGCACTGAAAGCGTGCCGAAATACATGCGAATAACATATTGATCGAAAGGTAATATTTGGTTCTTTTATTTTTCAAAAATCGTTTGTTTCAGCAGAATTGGGTGGGAATCTTTGGAATCAGTGAAGTAGGATGCGCTAACCTTATAGTTTATTTTTATACCCTTGCAGATGGTATTATAATTTTGGTCAAAAGTGTGCAACGCAGTGAAGGAGTCATCTCCGACCCTATAAAGTATATATATTCTTGATCAGGAGCACCTCCTGAGTATATATAAGCATTTCCGTCTGTCTGTTTCTACGCAAATTTCATAAGGATCGGCCAACTATATCCTATAGCCGCCATATGACTGATTGATTGGAAATGCCATAACTTTGGTGTTTGTTAAGTCAGTAAGTTGGGATTTTTTATGAGTGTTAAGAATGCATCATATGAATAATTTTGGAGAATATAATGTACATAATATTCTGCAAGGGTATATCAACTTCGGCTCCGCTCGAAGTTAGCTTTCCTTTCTTTGTATTCTTTCGGAAGATCCATACAAAATTTTTTTTTATAAGTATTCATGCTTGTAGGTCGTTTTTATCGTCGTAGAATAAAAGTGTAAATTGTATTCGTTGAATAGTATTGTACAGGTTGAAGGAACCATTTCCAATAGAAAAGCACAGAAAAAATGTAGTTTGTTGCATCAACGCGTTTTTACAGTATTTATTGTAAAGTTATGGCCCCGTGTATTTATTTGGTAATTTTTAAACTTAAACCACAACAATTGTTACTTATACTTATCATCGTGTCTTGCTGTAGCAAATTTTACGTAACAATATTAAAATCGCTATGAGTGTAATGCCTAACACTTACTGTTTGTCGCAGTTCCTTTCGGTAAATACATCTATCAATTGGTTAGAGTATTTTAACTGTATAATTGAAAAATGTTGTGACGTTGTAACAAATTTTTTGTAAACTTATTTTTTGCATCGTGCAAACAATATAAAATGACAAATTTTATTTTTATATTTAATTATATTATATATTTACTATTTAATATGTATGTATATTAATTAAAAATTTGTAACTAAAAACCATACTTAATGAAAGTGTGTTTAAAGTGTGTTTATGTTTAAAAGTAAAATGTATTTTTATCATTTATTTTAAGCCGAAAGATTTTTTAAAGTTTTTATCCTAGTAGGCGTTAAAAATAGAAGAAATTCGCATTGCTTTTCCTATACCTGAGGAAAGCTTTTGTAAAAACAAAATATTATTACACATTCCTTGCATTTATGTTTTTTTCGTGTAATTAACCAATGGATAAATATTCATTCTGTACGGAGTTAAGTCCTAATGGTACTAATTAAAAAGTTACTAATTCAAAAAGTAAAAAAAAGGTGTGCCATCTAAAATTTGTAATGCCGGAATTTTTGGTTCCAAGTTTTTAACGTAGTGAAGGACACATTTCTGATCCTATAAATTATATAAGGTGCGTTGAATATCATATGACCGTCCTAACACAAAATTTGAACATTATTATACCCTTGCAGAGGGTATTATAATTTCAGTCAAAAGTTTGCAACGCAGTGAAGGAGACATTTCCAACCCAATAAAGAATATATATTCTTGATCAGCATCACCAGGAGAGTCGATCTAGCCATGTCCGTCTGTCCGTCCGTCTGTCCGTCTGTCCGTCCGTCCGTCCGTTTCTACGCAAACTAGTCCCTCAGTTTTAAAGCTATCTGCTTGAAACTTTCCCAAATGTTGTCTTTCTATTGCAGGTAGTATATAAGTCGGAACGAGCCGGATCGGGCGACTATATCATATAGCTGCCATATAACTGAACGATCGGAAAAGCCATAACGTTGGTGTTTTTAAAGTTAGGAAGTTGGGATTTTCTATGAGTTTTATTTTTGGCCAATTAATCCGACCTACCAAATTTCATAAGGATCGGCCGACTATATCCTATAGCTGCCATATAACTGAACGATTGGAAATGCCATAACTTTGGTGTTTTTAAAGTTAGGAAGTTGGGACTTTTTATGAGTATTAAGAATACATCATTCCGACATATATACTGCGTGCAAAGAAAAGAAGGGTGTGTGCAAAGTTTCAATTCGATAGCTTTAAAACTGAGAGACTAGTTTGCGTAGAAGCAGACAGACGGACAGACAGACGGACAGACGGACAAGGCTATATCAACTCAGGAGGTGATCCTGATCAAGAATATATATACTTTATAGGGTCGGAGATGTCTCCTTCACTGCGTTGCACACTTTTGACCAAAATTATAATACCCTCTGCAAGGGTATAATAAGAACTGGACAGTGTTATCTGGGAAAATTTGTCATTTAAACAATGAAATTTTATTTAAATGAAGATGATTCCGTGACCAGTTACGATGTACACCGCAAATCATTCTTTTTCCAAGGTGCCACCGGAGGTTGCCTATATCTCACGCACTTTTCAATATTTTTGGATGGAAATTTTCACAAATATTGTTTAAATGAAATATTATCTGATGGGAAAAACAAAATTAAACCGAAACTATGCGTATCGCCAATAAAAATTCGTAGAAAATTAGCGATTTAACTTAATACTGGAGTACGGTAGGTAAACTACTTAAAATTCTTTTAAATACATTTAATTTAAAGATAATTTTTTCAGATGAGGAAAAATACAATCTTGATGGACCGGATTGCTTTAAATACTACTAAAGAGATTTGCGAAAAGATTTATTTTCTTGGCCCAATGTTGGTCGAGACTCAGGAACAATGGGAGCGCTTTTACCTTAAAAACCACTCTTGATTTAAAGTTCACATCATCAAAAATAAACAGAACTGACTGGAATACGGTAGGTCAAAAACCTGCTTTTTAAATTCATTTTTAAAATTATTTTGAGTTTAATGATTATATTTTCAAATGAGTAAAAAGGGAATCTTGATGGTACTGATAGCTGCGAATACTTTTGGACATGTTTCCGAAATATCCTTTTCGTTTTTCTAAGCCCAACTTTGGTGCGAGCTTAGTAAAAGTATGGGGGGTTTGCCTGAAAGACGCTCTTGATTTAAAGGTCACATCATCAAAAATGAAAAGTACCGACTACAAAGAAGCCAAATACATTTGGTTGATAAAATACAGAACTGTCCTTCGTATATCGACAAGACTAAGCTCGAATTCACTTCAGCAATGCAACGAAACGTTTGGCCAATACATTATTCGTTGACATTTGCTCCAAGTTTCAATACATTTGGAGCAGTGGATATGGAGTTATACCGTCTGATTTAACAATATGTTTTTATATTCGGTGCAAAAATGAGTGTTGAATATTGAGCTAATATTAAGTTTTGTTCTAAACTTGTTAAAGCGTTTACCTCACTGTCCATGTCGTACCACTATTTACGACTGATATACACGTTTAAAAGGTCGGAAAGACGTTAAAAACGACGAATATCAAATCAAAAAAAATCACGTTTGGAAAAGTCAAAGATCGAGGGTCATTATTCACAAAGATGTCGTTCCCCCCGGCCAAGCAATTCATGGGCCGTTTCAAGTTGGTGTTATAGGAGTTTGCTCCGTCCAATTTGGACAGAGCCTCGCGAAGAATGAAGTTTGCGTTTTTTGCGCACTCTCTAATGCCATCTCATGGATTGACTTTTGATCAATTTTTTTCCAAACATAATTTTAGTCAAAAGTTTGAAGGAGACATTTCCGACCCTAAAGTATATATATTTTGGATCAGCAACTCCAAGAGAGTCGATCTAGCCATGTCCGTCTGTTCCTCAGTCCGTCCGTCTGTCCGTCCGCCCGTCCGTTTCTACGCAAAACTAGTCCCTCAGTTTTAAAGCTATCTGCTTGAAACTTTTCCAAAACTTGTCATTCTATTGCAGTTAGTATATGAGTCGAAACAATCGAAAAAAAAATTAACACAAGAAAGGAAGCAAGCCGAAGTTTATATACCTTTTCAGTTATTACAAATCGACTACATTTTACTAATAACAATGAAGCTATATCGATTTTACGCTGTTGTCCGATTTTGACAAAACTAAAAGCGTAATTCTGATATAATAAGTTATAACTTAATCTCAAAGGAATATTTTGATAAATAGAAAAACAGCAAAAAAAAAAAATATTTCTTTTTTTTTTCTTTTTTAAATAGATGTCCGAATTTAATTTATTTAAAACCGTAATTCAATAGTATTTAAATATTACCAAGCTTCAAGGAACAATTAAAAAATGTAAAAACAGGAAATAAAGCAAACTTCGGCAAGCCGAAGTTTATATACCCTTGCAGTTATTACAAATCGTTCACATTTCGATTTTTATGCCTATATTACTAAAAACAAGGAAGCAATGTCGATTTTGCTCTGGTTTTGCCATCGTTTCTATGGCAGCTAAATGATATTGTTGTCAGATTTAGACAAAACTATTAGCGTAATAAAGTAAATAATTACTATATCTCAAAGGAATATTTTTTTCATTTTTTAATTTTCCTATGGGAGCTATATGATAAAGATGTCCGATCTTAATTTAATTAAAACCGTAATTCCATAATATTTAAATATTACCAAATCCTAAAGAACATATCATAAATTAAAAACAAGAGAGGAAAGCTAACTTCGGGCGGAGCCGAAGTTGAT